AGGTCAACAAATTTCTGAACACGTAACAGCACACCTTGATAATGACAAATGAGATTTTGTCGAAACGTCGGTGAAATTAGAGATAATATCACAAACACGGATCAAATACCCGGAAAAACCAGTTTAGCATAGTTTTTGATAACACAATCGACAAAAACTTAAGAATAGTTTGAGAACTGATTCATTTTCACAACATTTCAACATTACAAATCTCCTTTCGAAAGTGTTTCACAAGTAGTTATTTCACAAGAGTAGAGGTGATGATATCTTCCCATACAAATATGCCATCTTTGGGATTGGCAGAAGACTCAATCCTCGAATATATAAGCAACCATCGCATTTCATATTTTTGTTGGTACTGATTGGATTGGAAGTGTTTGCACAGAGGTAATATATTCTCTCAATTACTACTTGAAAATACTCACCATTTCCATTTTCGTTGTTTCCCTCGTTGAAGAATGCAGTGCATTCTTGTTCCTTTATAAAACCTTGTTGTCGTTCAGCTCTTTCTCTCCGCCTCTTCAACGCAGGGGTGACTCCAGCATCAGTAGCTGGGAAAAAAGGTTATTAAGAAGATTTACTTAAGTATTCTCATTCGATATTTGTAATACATTCAGTGAATACAAATATTTCGAGAACAAAAATGTCAAAGTTTCTTGACTTTTTATGTTGAATTATTTTTATTCTCTTTGATAGTATAAATTGCATTTTGAGAGGTAGAACTAGAACCTATGACATGAAATTAATTTATTAAAAACATTTTCCCACACGTCTTTCGCCGCACGTTTAGCTAACCAAGTAAGCATCTTCAGGATATTACTAAAACTGAGTCTTACGACCCACCAACTTACCAAATTAGGTCATTATACCAATTCATAGTATAACATATTGTGTTATATTTTCATTGTATTCGATGTTAATTATTATACTTGGAGCCAAATTTCCACCTGTTGTTATTATGTGGAAGAGAAAAAAAGGGCTTTTTGGAATAGGACCTTTGTCGCTGTTCATAGATTTCATTTCGCGTTTTTCTGTTTCTAAACTGATCATTCATTCTATGACCATTCTCCAAGGCATATTGAGCGATACTGGACTTATCTGGTTTATGGAAGTGAACATATGTACATTTTCCTTGTAGCCAGCAATTATGATCCGCTCAGTATATACGTTTTATCACAATCCTCACAGCTTATTTCGTGAATCCAAGACTTTCTCTTTGCCGTCGTCTTTCAGCTTGCCTAACACAACTTGGATCATAAGCCTCGTGTCCTGGATAGGCAGTATTAATAACTCCCCGTACCATCCCAACTTCAACTATAAAGATTAATTCTCTTGAGAAAAATATTGTGAGTCAAAATTCTTTATTTGCTTATTATGGTTACAACACTAACAAAAGTATATTTAAGTATTCACAAAACAATATACTTCCATATATGAGAGTAGGGTAAGGGAAGGATGGGGAATAGGTATAGATAGGAGTCATGGCGGGAGGACTACTGTTTTGTTGAGCCTAACAAAACTACACGGTGCCACAATTAGACAGTGGGAGGCGACCCCGCTGATGTTAACAGGTAGCTCTCTGCTCAACAGATTTTCGCTTTAGCCTACGTCTATGAGGTCTCGTTTCCTGCCGAACTCACGCGAAAGTTCTTGCGGTGCGATTTCGATATTGCTTTATCATTTAACTTTTTATGTTAGTTATCCGGAACCTCCTAAAAAAAGGTCATGAAAAAGTCAGGCAAGAGTAATTCTGCTATCACGCTAAGTCAGTGAATTGAGTGAATTATCTTTTCCAATTTTCCCACGGACTAAGCGTGATCGGGTTTGTGCCGTTCATGGAAGATGCCCAATGGATCATAGATCAGCCCGTGTTTACGGGGCAGATTATGGTAACTCCTAATAGCCGTAACGTTCCTCGTTAGTGGACTTTTCGGCAGAAAAAACTTGAAGAATTTCTGAGATAGCCTCCTGATACGTTCAGTGACTGTCTCCACTCCACCCAGATCTAACATATCCACCAATGAAATGTATCTGTGACTATCAGTGCAAATACGGAGCACCTTGTTCTGCGTCATTTCGAGTCTCTGTAAAGGAAATTTTTTGAGGCTGCAGAACACAGGACAAGCGTACAACATAGCTGGTCTTATTATTTGTTTGTGAATGAGCAACTTGTTGTCAATATGGAGCTTGGAGTTGGATCGCCAAACTCAAGTGTTCCTGAAAATTTAAGCGCCTATCCAGAATAACTCCCATATATCGCGCACTTTTCTGCCATCAAAGCTCGCGCCTTTGATTCGCAACTTCCTGAAAATCTTTACGTTGGTAAATTTCTTCGAAAAGTTGACGAGCTCAGTTTTCGATGATTTCATCACAATTTTGTTCCTGTCAAAGTACGGCAAGACCATTCTGTTGAGGTGGATCAGCAGCTGATGTTTAGCCAACTCGCTTAAGAATGAGTTCGCGTAAATTGCTGTATAGTCTGCATAGATACATACCCACATTCGTTCGCGAGAACATGGTGCGGTGATAAGCAGGACCCCTGCAAGCCACCTGCTTCTATCAGGTAATGTGCAGATGTGGTTTGGTCCATTCTCACACGAGAAGTTCGATTAGTCAGGTAGGATTCAAGAATCCTAATCACGAATAAAGGCAGGTAGGATTCAAGAATCCTAATCACGAATAAAGGCATGCTGCCAACCACATTTTTGCATACATTCTGTCCATACCTTATTAAAGGTTTTTTGAAAATCAAGCAGGATCATAACTGTGTTCTCCTCCTGATGGAAAGACTCCTTCGTCCCTTGAACAACTCGTATCAGTTGAGAAGTCGTGTTCCGACCTCATCAGAACCCAAATTGCTCATCTTCCCCTTTAGGCGAAGAAGTCTACTTAGCAGTTCTTCATCGCCAACCTTCGTAACCACACTGAGCAGCGAGATCTGGCGATAATTATCAAATAATGTGTCTAGCTTTACCAGCCTTGTGGATGGGCACCACCTCCGCATGCTTTAGATATTGATGTTTAACTTTTGCGTTGGCAATATGCAATAACTGCACAAGACCTTTACGAGGCAAATTGCGGAGATAAACCGCCTCGATCCCATCAAGCCCCGGGGCTGAGTTTTTCCCCAAATGCTTGATGGTTGCTACAATATCATCGTAGCTAGTAAGCCACTCTACTAGGGTCCGTTCCGTCATGGCTGCAACTGATCTGCTCCTGACCATATCGGCGACCCTGGTAGTATTATCATGTTCGTTGTGGTAGTCGAGTTTTACACGCTGGATATTGGCAAAATACTCCCCGAACAACCGAACCTTTTGAAAGTCCGTCACCAGGTGTTCCTGATCTTTCTGTATAGTAGGTATGGCCTCGAAGCGGTTGTCCAACTTCTTAGCCATCCTCCACACAAAGTGATCATGAACACTAATGAGCTTATCCTGTCACCTTTTATTGGTGAACTAAGAGATACGTTCATTGACCTCCGCCGCAATTCTCAGCGTGTGATTCTTATAGCGGGGGTCCCGTGTTCGCTGCCACATTTTGCGCTGTATGTTTTTCTCCTTAATGAGTTCAACATCATCTAGTGGTAGGATAACTCGGTGTTCTTTCACGACTACCTTCCTTGTCGACCTATCTCTGGATTTTTGAATGTTTTCGACAAACTGCTCACAGATCATATCGAGATCATTTCGATATGTTGCTTTTTGTCACGGTCAAACCATTTAGAGCCAATCTGGACTCCTCCCAGTCGGTGCTCCTGTAGTCAAACTTTGCTTTCCTCTTATTGGAGTTGGCTTGAGTGAGAATAAGGAGCACTGGAGCTCAGCTCGTCCACCGTGACCACTTTTTCATTTAAGAAAAGGTCGTCAATCGTGAGTCTGGTGCACTACCACTGCGCCAATTCATCGCTTTGCCCAACACTTCTTGAAGAGTACGAGTAGATTTGAAATCCAATTCGATTTAATTTTATTAAATTCTTTCCAATTTCTAGAAAATTGAATATGTACCTGGCTATCAAAACTGCTCATACACTTCAACAATTGTTTGGCAATAAAAAAGTCCAGGATATATGAAAGAAGCTGGGAACATTGTTATACGAATAATATTGATTGAACTAAGCGGTCTACAACAAACATAAGAATTATTGATTTCATAGACCAGAAAAGTCTAGTGTTTCTCAACATTTCTTGAAGAACGACCACAATATGAATGAGGAATGCTTTAAATTGTTGAGAGCAGTACATGACAACATGTTTTCAGAAGCCTTCAAAAGTTTAGAAAGCAGTAACTGTGGAATGATATCTATGAACAGTGAACAATGTACTATTTCAAACAGTCCGTTGTCAACTCTCTCACGAAATAATTACAGGTTGGAAACAGGTAAATATTGGTATCCTAACACGTAGTAATCAACATTAGTTTGCTCAAAAATTTAACGAAACAAAATAAGTCATACTAGAAATTGATTCAATGGTCCTCATTGCGTAAGGTGATGGTTCATCCAAATGTGTATAAAACAGCCGTACTGTTTGATTTTAGTCAGCTCCGGATAATGCGGTTAACGAAATGTCTGTCGAGAGACAGTAATTTTATTGTGTGTTTGGGAAAAGTGTTTTTGAAAGAATAATTGACATAATAAGGTCTATGGGTTGTTTCAACCCAAAGTAATAGACTGATATAATTGATTGAATGAAATGAAAATTACTTTTTGAAATCGTTTGATATGCCTATGCTCATATCTTGCCAACAATGCAATCTGAATTTCGGTTTTAGAAAATTATAGATACAAGACGGAATGTTTCAAAAAACTAGATTATGATAGATTGCATTTTTAAGAAGACTCTGGAGCTCTTTATATTTTACAAATAAATCTAAAGAAATGAACTTCAAACGTTCAAGCCAGTCTCGCTCCAACTTAGCAAGAGGAATGAAATACTCTGAAAGAATTCCGATTTTCAATTATGGAATATCATTGACTTTAGGTCGATGAGAGCCACTATCTTGCACTGACGAGTGCATGGCTAATGAGCCCGAAACCGGTCTGCAAGTGTGCCAAAAATGAAGGTCGACTCTTTCAGTTGTGTTGCCAAATGCATATGCAGGAAATTTTCTGTGAATTTCCTGCATTGACGCCTGTCGGATATAATACAACGCCGTTCGTGGTATTAACCAAGGGAGTAGTTGTTTTCTGATAGGCATCAGTCCATTCAACCTACTGTGTAGGTATATTCGAGACTGGCTTGAATGTTTAAAGTTCATTTCTTTAGATTTGTTTACTGCCAGTCTTCAAGCATAGACCACTGACTAATAAGAAAATTTTGCAAATAGTTTGAAAAATATACCTTTGTCGCTTTTATTGTTACTCCCTCTTAAGTTTGTGTTCATGGAAGAGGACTGCGAACTAGATGAATCAGAATCTTTATCCTCTTTATTAGTTTGTAAGGTAGGACTGCTTCCCTTCGTGATCATCGTAGGATATATTGGACTATTTCCTGTGGAGTGCCGCCTGCTCTTCCTCCTCTCTGTTGAATCCACTACCGATTTTCTGTTCCTTTTCATTTTCATAATACTATCATCTAGACGTCCCAAATATGATCCATTAAGGTCTTCACCATCTTCGTATTGGAGAACTGCTTCATAAATTTGAAATTGCTGCAATAGATCTAGGTCAGTTCCAGGCTTGGACATATATCTCTGAATGACAGTTTCAAGACCTTGTTCTTCTAATGGGTCTATTTGGTCATAAAACGTATCCTGATCTGACACGCCATTCAGAATTCTGTTAATGAGTGTCATGGCATAAATTAGAAGTTCTGTATCAGCAAACTCGAAGTCCTTCAATAATTTCATTATATTATGATAAAAAGGAACTCCTTCAGAGTAATCAACACTGTGAATTGCTTTGATCATAAGAGAGCAATTTGAGTCGGCATATTCTACGAATACTAAGAGTAATTTCAGCGCAGTTTTCACCACCAATCTGAACTTTGACGAAATGAGACTGTACAACCATTGGATTGTTTGATTGTGTTCCATGACTCCGTTCATCCCATCGACGTAAAGCATTACTTGACCTAGTGCCCTCAAAATGTAATTTAGGTAATTTTGATCTGCTTCGGATCCGACTTTTATGAGACATGATAAACCGTCGTTTCGAACGAATTCGTGAACTAAATCCTTATCTTCTTGGAAAATTTGTTTGAGGGAGAATAATGCACGTCGCAGCTCCCGACCCTCAGATGTTAATAGTTTTTCTGAAAAAGAAAAAAAATGTTTCACAAATATAGAAAAATATACAGGGTGTTCCTTAAACACATGCTAATATTTAAGGAGGTAATTCTTAGACCCATTTTAACGCCTTAACTTTTGAGATACAGGGTGGCAAAGTTTTCAAAAATAATCAGTTTTTCAATAATAACTGAGATAAATTTGTAGACATCTTTGGCATATTTGGTACATATATTCCATGCCTCAAGGCGCATTTTCTGATGTACAATTTTCTTAATTTTCTCTGCCAGTGGCGTACGTACGAGTTTTGAAATGTATATTTTTGGCGAAAAAAATACTACGCCACTGCTTTATCTTGAATTAAAAATTATTTTTAAAA